TCACTTATTAAATCAGCAACAGCAATTTCACAATCAACATTTTGTTCAATATCAAAAATAAAAGATTATACTGAACTTATAATCTAATCCACCAAATATTATTAACTAAGATAATATAGATAAGTTTCTTATATAATTATAAAATAAATATATAACCGATGCTTCTCTGCAATACATCAGTAAATGAAGATAATACAGCAACTTCTCGACTTACGAACATTTGCACTTACGACTACGACTAATTAAAAAATAGAAGGAATAATTAAAGTATTAAACATCAGTTATCATCTTTGTCTATGTTATCCTATTACTACTTTGTACATGAAATTCAACTTATGACTATTTCGACTTACGTACATAGGTGCAAAATATTGTCATAAATCAATTAGAATTAACTGTATTATTAAACATTAGTGCATATAAATAAGTCTATTGCAATTCCATTATTTTTGATATAAAATTCGACTTACGGCTATTTCGACTTACGTCCTATGATGCAGAATATCGTCTTTAGTCAGGAATAGAAGGAATAATTAAAGTATTAAACATCAGTTATCATCTTTGTCTATGTTATCATATTACTACTTTGTACATGAAATTCAACTTATGACTGTTTCGACTTACGTACATAGGTGCAAAATATCCTCATAAATCAATTAGAATTAACTGTATTATTAAACATTAGTGCATATAAATAAGTCTATTGCAATTCCATTATTTTTGATATAAAATTCGACTTCCAACTATTTCGACTTACGTCCTATGATGCGGAATATCGTCTTTAGTCAGGAATAGAAGGTATAATTAAAGTATTGAACATGAGTTATCATCTATGTCTATATAATGGGATAATTATTACTTTTTACATTAAATTCAACTTACGACTATTTCGACTTACGTCCAAAGTTGTTGAATATCACAATAAGTCAAGAATTCACTTTATAATTAAATTACAGCAGCTTGCATAATACAGGTAATCGGTTCTGTCATTATCCCGGACTGTTTGAAACCGGACTAATCGAGGACTTTAAAAACGCAAAAAATAAATAAAAAGAAAAAAACTATTATTTATATAATAATTTCGTACAATAGTGAACCCGCACTAAGCGAGACATGTCTGTAGAAAACATCAGTTATCATCATCTTTGGACTGCATAAAATCTCAATTTGTTAATTAAAAGCGTGAAAACGATAGGAATCTCGCAACGCCTAAACACAGTTAACTCTTTCCGTAGAATTGGCTTAACAAGGTTTTCAAGGTGACAAGAGTTAAAGCAGCGATTTATTTGCCCACTAATAAATTTGAAGAATTCCCAGAAGGTTTATATTTCTTTCCATCTCTAGCACTTTGTGCAGCGACGACAAACAACAATAAAGGGGGGAAAATGAGTGGACAAAAAGGTGTGAAATGCAGAAGACAAAAACAGACACTTATCAAAGTCGAAAAACACAATAGAAACATGCAAATTTTATTTATAGACAAAATAAATCGAAATATCTGCAAGTCATCTATGAAGATTTCCATGCATCTGCAGAAAATAACATCAGCAAATGATTTAACCGTATGCTTATAAATTATTATACCACATACTATGATGACTGCAATTTTCTTATTAATTGTCTTCGCGATAATAAAAAAATATATATATTGAACGTTCCAAGAAGAGTGTAATCTGGAAGCTGTTTGATATAAAAATAATAAATTTACTTTTATTGTGTTCATGAAAGAAAAACCACACACTATAAAGTATTTATTTTTATGTACGTGTTTCTAGACTTCATTATAAACACTAGAGTATTTTTTGTGTTTACGTCTAATTCTTGTGTTAATCTTATTCCGATTGTAATTGGACGTTGTGACATTGAACTGTATTTGAAATTAGAGTCTTTCTATTTATCGTACTCATTATATGTCTCATAAATGTATACTTTACATGCTTTGCTTTATATAAACACTTTTAGTTGGAAGGTCAAATGTAAATCAATTTCAGTTTTCAATCCATTTCAAGAAATTTTATATTTATAAAACAATATAATTGCAATTTACATTACGTAATTCTACAACATATTCAGCCTATTATACTTTAAATAATTTAAAAAAATAATTATTTTTATATAATTTCGTCAATTTTTATCGTCAAGAAATGTAAAACTTTGATAAAGAAATAAAATTCATATTACAATTTACAATTATATAATAAAAGATGTTTAAGCATTTTATTTAAAAAATGTTAATATTTGTTATATAATTTCGTTAAATATTCTTCAAGAAATGTAAAAAAATTATTCAATAATAAATGTTGAAATGTTTATTTCGTAATACTAGTAGACGTTAAAAAATTGAAAATTTTGATAAATAAAACATATTACAATTCGTTATATAATGATGATTACAATATTTATTTTGAAGTAATATCAATTTATTTATAAACAATTAATTAAATCAAGATGCAAATTTATATTTAATAATTTTACAAATAAAATTAAAAAATATTTTGGATTTCGTTATAAAATTTCAATAAATAACAAACACTAAGCTTGTTTGTTTTTTTTTATCGAAGCGTTGATGCAGTTAAATAATTACACTGGAAATGAGATTCTTTATCACTTTTCACATGGGTAAATAAACGACTTTAAGTGTATTCTCGAATATTCTCATTAGTTATTTGGTCGCAGCGAGTATAATAAGTTCGCTTCATTTATTTTTAAAGCTATAACATAAACAACTAGAGCTACCAACCAGTTAAGTTAAGTTATTATAATATTAACAGCACGAACAGCCGCATGACTCAATGATCTCATCTAAGCAAAACAGAAAACCTTTCTTTAAACATATGATTTCTCAGAGTTTGCAACTTACAAAAAAAAATCAGTGTTGAAACCAGTTCTTTAAAATTGATTATTAAGAAGCAATTAAGTTTATTTTAATAATTTGAAACGCAATTGTTTAAATTACAAATTATTATGCAATTTATCAAATCTTAAAATTTCAAACTAATTTCTGCTGTATTTATATTAGAAAAAAAATATAAATTGTTGGAGAAACGAAAATCTGGAAGAAATTAAGTTTATTTTGTTAATTGTTTAAGTAATTAATTGTTATTCATTTTCTTAGAGTTTTAAATTTGAATCTAATTTAAAGACACATTGATTCAATTAAGAAATGTAAATATGTTTAATATGTATATTAGAAAACATTAGAATTGTTAAGTAATTAAGTTAATTTTATTAATTGACTCACAATTGTTTAAATTACCAAATAACAAAGATTTTCTCAAAGCTTCAAATTTCAAACAATTATCTTTATATTAATTATTGAAAAGTAATTAATTTCATTTTAATAATTGAACTGTTCTTTAAATTACATCTAAATTAAATGATGAAATTTTACTATATTTTGCGAAATATTGTTATCGATTTTAATAAACAATTAGATTAATTATAAATAATTAACTAATTATGTTAATTAATGAAGAAGTTCTATATTTAGTATACATATTAGGAAACACCACAATTGTTGCTATCGATTTTAACAACCTTGTTTAATAAAGACAACCAAAAGTGTTTACAGTCATGCAACAAATAATGAAACACGCAAGCCGTAATTTCAATACTATACTGGGAATTAGTTACAATACAAACTCTGCGTAAATACTTTTATTGTTAATCAATATAGAAAATATGTTTCATTTTTATATGCAATTATGTTAATAATGTAAGATTATTGTATACTTTAAATAGTTTTTTAATGTTTGTATAAGTTATTAAATACTTTTTGTTGATCAAAATCGAAAATTTGTTCTGTTTTGGAATGAAATTGTGTTAGTAAAGTATACTTAAACTTTTGTTGTTCGTAAAATTGATTTCTTTTATAATGAAATTAAGTTAATAAAGTAACATTTATTGCCTAATTAATTACTTATCATTAATCGTTATCGAAAAATTGTTTAGTTTTGTAATGAAATTAAGTTAATAAAGCAACATTTACTGTATACTTAAGTAAATTTTATTAATCGATATAGAAAAATTGTTTCTTTTGAATTTAAATCAAGTTATTTAAGTAACATTTATTTTATACTTAAGTACTTTTTATTAATCTATATCGAACAATTGCTTCGTTTTGAAATGAAATCAGGTTAATAAAGTAACATTTATTGTATACTTAAGTACTTTTTCTTAATCTATTCGTTTTATAATGAAATTGAGTTAATAAATACGAAAAATTGTTTCGTAAATTAAGTTACTATAGTATACTTATTTACTTTTTGTTAATCAATATCAAAAAGTTGGTATGTTTTGTAGTGAAATTAACTTATTAAAGAATACTTAAATACTTTTTGTTAATCGATATCGAAAAAATGTTTCATTTTGTAATGGAATCAAGTTAGTAAAGTAACAATTATTGTATACATAAATAGAACAAAAAATCAATATTGTGTAGCAATTAATAATGACTATTAACCATATTTGCAATTGTTTTAAAAGTACTAAAATGGATTTAATTAGTATTATGAATGGATTTTGCATTCTGCGAAAGCATTTGAATAACATAACAAATGTCAAGTTATGTTGTTGTTGAATGGAAAAGTTTCGTGAAACGTGAATAACGTCTCGTATTGGAATTACCGAATATTAAGTTAATCCAAGAATATTATGATTCAATGTGTTAAAGCGATTCTATTGATTAATATTCCCAGTATATGGGAGAGAGTTTGTTGAAAAAGACAAGCAAAATGCACAAAGAGGGAGTCTTTTGTCGGCTCTTGCAGCTGGAATGGAAAATTTTCGAACAGGTGCATCGTGCAGCCAGAGGGTTCTCCTGTTCTTCACCTCTCCTATATACCTTGCCCGAATGCGTACAAACACAAAAAAAAAAGAAGAAGACGACCGTTTTCGATGGCTGACAAAAGGCGAGACTGCACGAGAGACAACAGTCGAGGGTGAAAAGAAACAGAAAGACAAACAAAAAGAAAACACATATATACAGCAAACAGACTTACTTGTAACCTAAGCTTCTTGATTTGGAAGGACCGCTCGTTGCGTGTACTCGTAGTTGATTGTAATACAATTTTGACTGTGAAATATCCAAATCTGCACAGGGTCACACTGTTAACTTTACCACTGGGTATTGTTTTGAACTCGTTTGTTTGGAGGTGTATTGTGATGGATGTTCTTCGGAAGAACGTAAGAACCAACGTAAGATACGTCTGACCTGCGGCACTGTCGCGTGCGGAATAAGAGCTGTCGCACGGCGCACGATTGTTGCGGTGGGGAGTTAGGATCGAAGAGTCTGACGTCTACGTTAAGGAGAGGATGGAACTATGGAGATTATCGTAGGTTGGACGAGGATGGATGAAATGGACGGACATGCGCCGCAGTTCAAATTATTCGATAATCAAAATTCGAATGTGCAACGGTTTGACAGACACAAAAACAAGTCAAATGCAAACTGTCACGTACAGTGGCGTATGCAAGATTCTTTTCTTTAAATCATAAACTATATTTTTCATGAGTGGAAATCTAAGATTTATAACATTTACTAATAACTTAGGATGGACAAGATCCAAATTTCAATGAGCAACGGTTTGACAAATGCAAAAAGTATGGGACAGTGGCGTGACAAGGATTTTTTTTTTAAATCATAGATTTATAAATATTTAATCTTTAAGGTTAGGAAAAGTGAAGTTTTCTATTTATGTATACAATTAAGTTAACTTTATATACTAATAATTTTAAGGGTGGAAAAAAGTTATAAATAATATTAATAAATTTAAAAAGGGTGGACAAATCAATTTAAATATGAAAACATGTCAAAAACAGTGGCGTGGGATGATTATTTTTTTAATCATAAATTTATAAACTTTAAAAATGAATAATAAAAGTAAATAAATATAAAATTTAAGAGTATTTATTAACATATTTATTAAGTTAAAGAGGATGGACAAAATCAATATTTCAGTTTGACAAGTGCAAAAACTGTTTGACAGTGGCGTGACAAGAACTTTTATTTACGTATAGAATTAAGTTTACTTACTAATAAGTTTAATATATATAAAAATTGGTCGCATGTATCATGAAAATCTGATACGAAAGGTCATTGGTTCGATTTCCAAAAACCAATAAAATTTGTTGGGGCCGTTAAACCTGAAAGGGCCAAAAGATATTTATATCAATAAATAAATAAATAAATAAATATAAATATCTTTTTTTAAATAAAAATAAATATATAAAAATAAAGTTATAAGCGTTGATTATAGACCCAAATCAACTTTTGATATATGTATTTGTATGAATACAATAAATGTTAATTTACTTATTTAGAAAGGGTGGACGAATACAACATACAAATGTTTAATGGTTTTGATTGACTTCAAATTAGAAAATGTATAACAATAATAATTTTTTATTTATCAGTACAACAAAGGTTAATTTACTTACTTACTGAATAAAAAGGGTGGACAAAGTCAAAATTTGAATGTCAAAAAACCACGCAAGTTAAAGGAAAACTGTCAAAATACAGTGGCGTGAAATTATTTATTTTTAAATCATAATTATATAAACTAAATCTTTTTAAGGGTGAAAAATTGTGGTCATTAAAACAAAGATTACTTTACTTACTTTCATAAAATAAAAAGAGTGGACAAGATCGAGAATCGAATAAGCAACGATTTGACAGATGCACAGACACGTCAAATGAAAACTGTCATTTTCAATTATAAAAGTATTAAAATTATAACTTTAATAAAAATTTGTATAAAGTAATACAATTTTGTTATTATTAAATTAAAAAAATAATTATAAAATCTTGGAATCAGTTAAATTCATATTAATTGTAAAACTTAGATTATGGAAAAAGTACAATAATTTTCAAAGTTACGTTGTTTATAGTAGTTTCCATAGTAACATTAATTACAAAAAACACTACAATTTTCATTGAAAACATAACCAAAAATCTTAACCAAATCATCAGAATTTAATTAATTTTAAAAAGCTATCAATTCTTCAATTCTATATAAGAAAACAAACTATTAAACATGAATTTAAAAAAAGACTAAAATATCAATGACAGTAAACAACATGGACACTGACATTAACGAAATTATATTAGTCTTTCTCATTTTATTCTTCAAAACATATAACAACCAATAAAACTTTATAGCCAATATTTCAACAAAAACCTAAAAGCTTTTAAAAAGCTATGACTTCTGTAGTTAAATGTTTTTATTTTACTAAACTTAAAATACACATTTACAACTCAAGTTGTCAATGACAAAAATAAACTTATCAACAAACTCTGAGTTTATCAATGCAATAAAAAGAAGGAAAATAAACGTAATAAATTTCTATTGAAGATGAATTAAAACATGTATTTAAATCTTGTTACTATGCGAGTAAAAGCAAATAGACTTACGAAAAAAATAATCTTTATCATCTAATGTAGGTTAATTGCTTAACATTAATGTTACATAAATCGTGTGGTTGTTAAATTAAATAAATTTAAATAATTGCTGATAATCCTTAATTAACGATCATTCAGTTAAAATTTGTAATGTGTGTTTTGATCTGCACTTGCTATATTACGCAATGCATATATTAATTATCTGCTTCAATCCGACTTTTCACAAGTGGAAATAGCTGACCGTGTTAATCTAAGGAAATGTACGATCACGGCAGTCGAGACCCAAGTGGAATGTTCATTATTTTGCAGCGAACAACGAAATCCTTTATTGCACAGACATGTATAGACCATGAATCATTTCATGAGTCGTTGCATAAAGCCCCACAGTTTTTTATGGCATTTTCAAATTTAATAAATATAGAACATTAATTACTAAACGCTAACTTTCGCTGCCGACAGAGTTTATTGCCTGCGAAACTACATTTCCTCATAAATTGCCATAAGGAATAGGATTTAAGCTTTAGTTTGTGCACTCATGTGATCTTTTCTTAGGGGGAGATTTAGAAGGACAATGAAGACACATGGCTACTGTATCCTATGTACTATATAGTATATAGAGTAGATTGGGACAATGGCAATGAGGAAAAATCGAAGAACTCAGGTTACAAAGTAAATAGCAGTTGGAAAGGAAACCCACAATAGGGCCTAAGGCAGCTGCAGACCCTAGTTTCTTCTTTGTTGTGCTTACAAAAAAAAAAATATATTCTCGGTAAAATCAATTATTTAACAGAGAAGTAATTAAAAGTAATTTGAGCGGAACAGTTTTAAAAATTTCAAAACAAATACATCAATGCCTTATAGAGTGCGGTTTCGATCAATGCGGATTTACTATAGAACAGTTTGAAAATTTTAAAACATGTACAGCATTACTTTATAGAGTGCGGGTTCGATCAGTGCGGATTTACTATAGAACAGTTTTAAAAATTTCAAAACAAATACTTCAATGCCTTATAAAGTGCGGATTTCTATAGAACAGTTTGAAAATTTTAAAACATATACAGCAATACCTTATAGAGTGCGGTTTCGATCAGTGTGGATTTACTATAGAACAGTTTTAAAATTTTTAAAACAAATGCCTTATAGAGTGCGGATTTGATCAGTGCGGATTTACTATAAAGCAGTTTGAAAATTTCAAAACATGTACAGCAATACTTTATAGAGTGCGCTTACGAACAGTGCGGATTCACTATAGAACAGTTTGAAAATTTCAAAACAAATACATCTATGCCTTATAGAGTACGGATTCAATCAGTGCGAATTCACTGTAGAAAGATTTGAAAATTTCAAAACAAATTTTTAATTGAACAAAATAAAAATAAAGTATACAAAATTTGTTCACATTATTTTTGTCATTTTTTTCATTTATCTCATTTCTTTTTGCAGTTTATATTTGTATGTATTTTGGTCCTCAATTAGTCCGGTTTCAAACAGTTCGGGATACTAGCAAATCTATAGTATTCCATACTAATGCCATATTGCCGTTTGTTAAACTTATATTTCACTTTAATTATAAGTTAAACGCAATTATCTTATTTAATTCGTTCTCTTCGTTGTAAGCAATAAAACTGGATGTGTTGTTTATTTTTTTTTAATCGAAGTAATTAAAAGGAAAGAGGGCACGATGTTACAGAAAGTAACTTAACTTCTTTTGTGGAACTTTTTTTTCTGCATCTTTTCTTGCAAAGCCTCTGGTTAGTACAAAGAAAACGAGTTTTAAGAGAGTTCCACAAACCCAGGTGCGCAGATGAGAGGAATGAAAAAAAAAACAGGGAGAGCGTGCAAAGAAAAAGTAATATAATTGATTGGATTGTATCGTTCTGCGGTTTCACAACAACAAAATTAACAAAGTGCATTTGATTTTCAATAATAATTAATTTAAATATCAATTATATAATTTGCAATGATTTTATATAACCCTCTAATAAATTTAATTGTAATTAATTGAATTATATATTTGGTTTTAATTAGAAATTATTGATTTACTGACAAATATACAGATTTAATAATCGAACTTTTAGAGAATAGTTGTAGAAAAAAAATGTTGCCCCAATTGACATACGGTAGTTTTTGCAAAGTAAACAAACTATGTATACTAATTTTTTTAAGAATCGTTAGAGTGCAAGGAGGAAAGTTCAATTCCTTCTCGTTTAATGAAACCAAGAGAAAACGAAATGGAAAATAATTACGAGAAGCAGAAATAACGCTTTTCGGACGCGTTATTATGCATGTAATAACCTCGCATGCTACAACATTTCGTGCATCGTATAATTAAATGTAATTAGTTTTTACCCAAAAAAAAGAAGAGCGCAGTAAAATTTATAGCTCTGAGTGTGTATATTTATATATAATTACAAGTTGTGTCAAGGATTTGACAGATCCGGACATTTAGTTAAATGTTTTTTTTTGTTACAAATTTTCAAATACTGCAAAATAAAAATAAAATTTGTCCACAAATTTTTGTTGTTGTTTCTTATTACATATTTTGACTTACAACAAATCTTTACATAGTGCTGCTTCGATCAGTACGGATTCACTATAGTGCGGTTTGAAAATTTCAAAATAAATCAATTTTAATTAAGCAAAATAAAAAAAAAATTGTCCATACATTTTGTTGTTGTTTCTTATTACAGATTTTGACGCACAGCAATACTTTGCATAGTGCGGCTTCGATCAGTACGGATTCACTATATAGAACAGTTTGAAAATTTTAATACTGCAATACCTCGTATAGTGCGGCTATATTTAGTGCGGATTCACGGTTTGAAATTTTCAAATAAACTAAATTTTGATTCAGCAAAATAAAAAAAAATTGTCCACAATTTTTTGTTGTTGTTTCTT